CAGGGCAGAGGAGTCAGGTGCAAACCCCTAACCCGCACAAGATAGCGGCATTGGTTCGAGAAGGTTTTGATCAGGATGTGTGGCGGGATCGTTACACCTGGGTGCTTGTGTTAACTTCCGCAAGTATGACCATCAGCAGTTCAGATGCAAGAACGCGAAGGTCTTGCAGAAGATACCACCTAAAGGGGGGATTCCTTCTTCCCAGAGTGGTGCCTCTACGAGTTCCGCTTTGGGAAACACATAGGGCTAGTAGAAGTTATAGCTGCTTCTACTCTCGTTGAAGCGTGTGATGAACCCTCCCCGTTTTCAGAGTTGGCCAAGGCTATCGACTCCTTAGTCATCCTGCAAACGGATCCTGACCCAACGATACTCTGCTTGTTGGATGTGTCTGAGGCCTTAGAGGACCTACAAGTGAGCGGTTGGCAAGGGACCCTCGTGAGTCCTGGGTGGCACTAAGTAGAGGTCCTAGAGCGGAACACTTCGTTGTGGAAGTTGGTGTGGGGGACCGCAAATGCGGGGCCTTTGTAGACGTCAACTCCACTCGAAACTTTATAAGTTGCAACGGGGTTGAAAGGGTGCGCCTACAGGACTTGGACTGGCCAACAAAGAGCGCATGTAGGTAGAGGACTACGTTAAAGACATCGTCTGCGCTTTCTTAGACATCATCCTTGGGAGCAAGATACCAAAAGGGAGAATCTATAGGATGGCTCCGATCGAGTTGCACGACCTTCGTCGGCAACTAAAACAGCTCACAGAAAAGGGTTGGATACGGCCTAACATCTCCCCTTTGGGCTCACCAGTCCTATTTGTACCAAAGAAGAGGGGATCACTAAGGATGTGCATTGATTATAGGGGCCTCAATGCCATCATTGTTAAGAACGCAAAGCCCCTACCGAGCATCGATGACCTATTGGATAGGGTGCAGGGATGTAAGTATTTCACGAAGATAAATTTAAAATCCAGCTACCATCAAATTGCCAGTAGATTGGAAGATCAGCACAAAAGCGCATTTTAGACCAGGCATGGTCTGTACGAGTTTGTGGTGATGACCTTCGACCTTCGCAATGCGCCGGGTACATTCCAGCACGCCATGAATAGGATCTTCCATGACTACTTGGATAAGTTTATCGTCGTGTACCTCGACGACATTCTTATCTTCAATAGAAATGCGAGTTAGGTTGCACTAGCATGTTGTACTTGGGTCATGAAGTATCCGCGGAAGGGATTAGGCCTGAAGATGCAAAGGTGGCGATCATTAGGGACTGGCCATGACCCCAATCTATGACTGAGGTCAGATCTCTCTTTGGGATGTGTGGTTATTATTGCAATTTTGTACAATTTTATAGTACGATCGCATCACCCTTGACACTCCATGGGAATCGACAGACGCATGTGAGGATTGATCTAACTCGCCTTGACACTCCATGGGAATCGACAGACGCATGTGAGGCTGCTTTCAAGAGATTGAAGCATGCCATTTGTAGTGACCTTTGATGACGCAAACCAGTACAACATTGGTGCAGTGTTGGCTCAACAGGAAGGGAAGAAGTTAAGGCCGATCGAGTACATGAGCAAGAAGATGTCGTCAAAGAAGGTGGCGAAGTCCTCCTATGAACGGACACTTTACGCCCTCTACAAGGTACTTGTCCATTGGAGGCATTACCTGTTGCCTCTATTTGAGAAGTGACCATCAGACACTCAAGTTGATCAAGACACAACCTGTCCTCTCTGGCGCGGTCAAACGCTGGATTGAATTCATAGATTAGTATGACTTCAAGCTAGATTATGTGAAAGAAGAGCACGACAAGGTTGGTGATGCGTTGTCATGTAGGGCAGTGTACTTGGGTGCGTTGATTACTGAGTTTGGCTTATCTGACAATGTCACTCGATCCTTGGTGGAAGCCTACAAGGAAGATCCTGTCATGACGGACATCATTCGCAAACTCGAGGCTCGGGAGAAGGCCTCATCTGATGAGTTTGTGATGGTGGATGGGTTGCTCTTTCGTAAAAAGGAAGGGTTCAAGAGGTTAGTTGTCCCATTTAGAGAGATTTTGCGTAGTTGATTTTTAGGCGAGTGCCATGATGCAACGGGACATTTTGACGACAAGAAGACTTTTGCTAACTTAGTACAACGATTCTGGTGGCCTACCATGCTTGACGATGGAAAAAAATATATGCAGACTTGCCAAGTTTGTCAGCGGGACAAGCCGAGGACTCTAGCACCACTTGGGTTATTGAAGCCTCTACCCATTCTTGCTGGTTCGAGACAGTGTTTCCATGGATTTCATGGATACCTTCGTGATCAGCAAGAATTGCAAAAGGCATATCTTCATAATAGTGGATAGGTTCACTAAGTATGCTAGACTAATTGCCATGTCGTTGACGTGCCAGGAATGAGCACATCGTCAAGTTATTCATGGATAACTGGGTGCATGATTTTGGACTGCCCAAGACCATTGTTAGTGATAGAGATGTTCAGTTTACCAGTGAGATGTGGAAGAAGGCCGCTGAACAGATGGGCAGCCAGCTTCAGATGACTTCTGGGAATCATCCCGAAGCCAATGCGTAGGTGGAACATGTGAACCATGTGGTGCAGCATCTGCTGAGACATTATATGAAGCCTAGCCAGGATGACTGGGATGAGAAGTTACCCCTCATCCCTAGTCTGTACGACAATGCTGTACATAGCGCCATCACTGTCAGTCCTAACCAGCTACATTCGGGGTGGAAGCCTAGAATTGCTCTAGACTTCCTCCTGCCTGAAAACCGAACTGCTGCAACTCTTGGAACCATCGAGTTTGGTGACCAGTATGAGAAATTGTTGTAGCAGACTATCGAACATATCAGGAAATCTCAAGAAGCCATGATTGCTTCTGACAACAAGCATCGCCGACAGTCCACATTTTAGGTAGTGGAACGTGTTTGGGTCAAGGCTAGTGAGTTGGGACAGGAGTTCGGCATCTCTAGAAAATTAATGCCTCAGTATTTCGGTCCCTGGGAAGTCTTAGACATTGTGGGTAGTTTGGATGGTCCCTCGTACGTAATTCGTATCCGTGGTCACCTACGCATTTACCCTTTGTTTCACGCCTCAAAGCTTGCACCTTTCGCTGAGACAACAATTTCCATCAAGGAGATCAATGCTGCCCCCAACCATGGATGGTCGTGCGGACGTCGACAATATCCTGGAGCACAGAGACATGCCTGTTCCCAAGCCAGCTGGCAGGGCCAGACGGCCTAAACCTGTGAGAGAATACAAAGTACAGCTCAGGCATCATACGGATCCTAAGGAAGATCGGTGGTTCACAAGGGAGGAACTTGTCAAGACAGCTCCTCAGATTGTGGCAAAGTATGAAAGGAAATTGAAGGGGAAGGCACCAGCATGAAGCATCTGAGCGGATTTTCGAAGCTAAGGGAGATGGGATGCGAGGAATGAGCCCTTGCAGGGCCCTTACCAGACATGCACATGTTCTGGGCAGAGGCCCCCAGCAAGCCAAGTGCCGCTCTAAGTGAAGGCGGGCCTAAGTGAAGGCGGGCCGAAATTTGACCTTTTTCATATGTGGGTACTCAGGCTGTTACAGCCCGTCAGTTGGTTGAGTGGACACGCGAGCCTCCCTAAGTTGCGTCGTACAGTTTGGTCCAGGCCGTGGCAGTTGCGCCTGGGCACATACACAATGCAGGGCCGACACATCAGGAAGTGTCTACAGGCCTACGCAAAAGCAGCTCTGTCGAAGAACATCCTCTGGGTCCTGTGCAAATGCAGGAAACGGCCCAAGTCTGGAGACTCAGGCCGTGTCCATCTGTAAAGGGGCCCAGGCCCTCAACTGTAGCACTGGGCCTGGGTGCAGGTACTGGTGCCCAACGGGAAGCTACTGGAAGCTTCCATCCAGGCCACACGCAGCCAAGCAAAGGCTGCCACTTCCATGTAGGAAGGAGGGCAGCCAGGGTCTGGCATTCTGGCCAACGCGGGCAGTGCGGTCTTGCTACCGCGCTGCTCCGTTAGAGGCTGAGTGCTGTGCTGAGGCTAGAGCGCGTGCGGGCGCCTGAGAGGTGAAGAGGGGTGCTGCTGGGCAGCGGAGCTCAAGCAGCCATAGCCGGGCTGCAGGGCGCTAGGGTGTAAGACGGCGATCGGTGGTCTTCAGAAAGGAGGCGAGTGTGGGTGGAAAGGGTCTGATGAGGGGAAGTGAGATATGTACTGGGTCAGCTATGGTGTTGAGGTCATGTATGTTGGTTTTCGAGAGTTGAAGTGAGCCTGTTGAGAGAATGCTGATGTAGGTAGGATAGTCAGGTAGTGTCGGCTGGGTGCAGTGCGCCAGACAGAGGATCTCGGTGCATTTGTGCTCTCTGCTTGTACACGACTACTTGGACATCTTTGTGATTTCGCAACTTGGTTTTCTGTATATCGTTCCCACTCATATTCCTTGCATTGCCCATTCGCAAGAAGTGTGGAAGTGCTGCTTGAGCGCTTGTGTTTATCTGCGTGAGGCAAGCTCGGGAGCCCTCGCTGGCAGCGCTAGGTTGGGGAAGGAGGGCGGCCACAGCTGCATAGCCTGTAGGGAGGGAGGAAGTCAAGGTCGTCAAGTAGAGAGAGAGAGGGGAGAGAGAGGTAAAGACGGAAAGAGAGAGCGCACGCATGAAGAGGACAGAGAGAGAGATGTGAGGCATAGAGAAGGGAGAGAGAGTCACCTACCTTGTACGAGGATGCCAGATATGGACTGCTGAGCTCTGTGCTGTTGAGCGCTTGGTGACTGGAACTCCAAAACTGTTTAATATGATAATTCATCGCATTTTCTAAGCTGCGCTGTTTTGGACTTTGCATCTGTGGTCTCCAGTGTGGATTTCGTGAGATCTCTCAAAGTGTGTGTGCGCAAGGTGACGAAGAGTGAGATTCAATTCCAAAGTCAGGCACCATTTGTATGTGTCCCCAAATGTCGTTCTTATTCAAGGAGCTATATTGATGAGATGGTACTAACTGGATTGTATATTATATGACTGAATTGCAGGATGATGTGCCATCAAAGGAGACTGTGGATTCAGCACGGTCGACTGCAGCCACAAAAGATTTTATTCTAGATGCCATGTCTGACCGGAGGCAGCAAATGAGGAAGAGCCTGACCCGAAATGACATCTGTTTGCAAGGAATTAAGGTTTTCAGGCGACTCTCAAGAGCAAAGACTAGGCTGCCCCTTTGCAAGCAGTATCCTCACATGAACCACCTGTCCTCTTTTGGTATAACAATCTTAGGTGTGCGATTCCTATGTGGTCCTTGTTTCCTGGTTAGTGATAAATGAAGGCTACTGTGATGATGTCAAGTTCTGATTCTACGAAATGTTTGATCCTTAACAGACTTTCCAAATAAAAAAACAGAGCTAAACTGACAACAACTCCACGGAAGATTGTGCTCTACTCTGAGTTGAGAGCTATTCAGAGGATGATTTTTGACCAGAAGGTGATTATCTCTCTCATTGTTTGGTGAACAGGTGATCTTGATGTCAAACATTGAGAACAACGTGGTCACGGCGTGCGCATTCACAGCACACCAGCAGGTTTCAAAGATGTACAAAAAAAAAAAGGATATGTGTGATGTAAAATGCCATTCTGGGGCCACCGAGCCATTTTTGTCTGGGGCCACCGGGCCGTTTTTGTCTGGGCCGGCCCGACCATTTGGGTTGGGGCGGCCTGGCCTTTGAAGAATGCTGTATAGGTGATATTTACGATGTTGATTTTGCATCCGAAAGGTAGTGGTGGCTTGAAAATCAAATTTTGTTAAAACTTAAAAAACGTTTCTTTTGTTGTTTTTATATCATTTCCTCTTTTGGTGCTTCATTCCAAATTTTGGCATACTGCACGGCGGACCAGAAGTGTGGCAATTCGAGGAGTGTATGGAAGAATGGTTATGGAATTCTGAGGAGTAGGGATGGCTGCTTTGATGCTAGGGAGAGGGGGTCGCCGCAGGGGTTATCGAGGGTGAATGACAGGGAGGGATTGGGATTGCAATCATAGGGAAATTGACCACGAATCACAAGGGGGGGCGAATGTTTCATGCAGATGATGTGGAAGCGGGTATACAGCCGCATGATGGAGAGGGATAGGGTGGTGGAAGGCAGAAGGGGTAATTGCATGAACGTGGTAATCTCACGCAGGAACCTGAGTGGAGTTGTGATGATGACAGGGGGTTATGGAGTGCATAGGAGAGTGCAGGAAGCCAGATGAAGAGACATTTATCACTGAAGTAGGAGTGATTCAAATACTTGTTTGGGTGCTTGCTCTGGGACTGCGTCCTCTAACCACTTCCTGTTATCATTGATTTGAGACATTAGGGAATGCGTGCCAAATTGTAATCATAGCTTCAAGACGTCAAGAATTGTGTGCCAACCATTCATTGCAACTATTATGCCCATGCAGGTCGCAGAAAAACAGAGAATGTTGGAGATGGAAAGACGGGAGCAAGAGAGGTTAAGGAAGGTGAGAGGACAGTTTGCTTCTGGTTTTGGACTGAGAGTTTGGCTGGATCTTTATTTAAAAAACTGTGTTTTCATCTGAAGGCTCTTCCTATTCCAATCCATGCAAATCGTGGTCAGGAGATGGTAGGACTGTGTTGTTGTGCCTGGTGTTTGTTCCAATGACCTGTCAAAGATGAGCAGAATTGATGTTGTTTCATCATTTTAGAAGAGATGAAAGGACATAACACAAGCAATTCATCCATTGCAAGGAAGATGAGCAATAGCAAACTTCAGCAATCAAACAGCATCATACACATAAGACCAGATAGTCGTGACCTCGAACCAAAAACAGAATTGCATCACGAGTTTCACCAAATAAGAGTACACCAGAAGCTCATAATTGACAATGCTGGAATAGTCTCATCATCATCATCAGCGAAGAACCAATGTTGATATCCTATCTGGCGCTCGGCGCCCAGACTACAGATGGCAGATCCTATCTAGCCTAGACGACAATGCCGAAGATGACGACAACAGCTCTCCCGAAGTACGAGCAGATAGCGGCCAATGCCGCACGCTTCCAGCACCTGGTATGTCTCTCGCATCACTCACAACCTCGTTCCCCAACACACAAATGCCACATGCACCCAAGGACCACCAAGTGCCACACCCAGCCTACAGCACCGCAGCTTGGCTATGGCTGCGTGCTCCTTTCAGCTCGCCCGTGAGCGCGTGAGTGCCAGCCAGCTTCAGCACAGCAGCGCTTGCGCAGCATGCAACCAGCACCCGAATGTCCAATGCGGAGGCAGGCCCTTTGCTATATGGAAATGGCCTGCCTGCCTTCTGTCCCAGGCTGTGCTGGGCCTTTCCCAAGAAGCTTCTGGTATGCCCCGGTGGACTGAGGCCCAGACCAAACGAATTGGCCCAGGGCTGCTGACAGTAACCTGTGCCCAACTGCCTGCAACCTGAGTTGGGCCTATGCTGCGAATCTTGCCCAGGGCCTGACTCGGATGCATTTGATAAAGGAAGCTAGTGCCTGGGCGCTTCCAACCAACTGGCGCAGCGCAACTGCCTGAATTTTCCCCAGTTGCGAAGTAGTCCAAAATTGGCCTCTGAGGGTCTGTCGGGCCTGCCTTCGCCTAGGGCAGCCGATGCTGTTGTGAATAGGGCCCAGTGGGGCTTATCGAGGCCTTGTGCCTTGCACAATTCTGTGGGGACTGGTTGGGCAGTGAGGATGGGGGCTAGATCGCATCTGTCCGATGGGATGGCAGGCCCCCCCAGGAGTGTAACCAGGAGGAATTCAGGAGAGACTACCGTATTTGCTTCAGAGACTGGACAATGGTGGGCCAGGAGATCCCGCCGCGATCATCCACAGAATTTCCCGACCCCTTCTCAGCCCACCAGCTGTAAAAGGTCGATGTGCAATGGTACGGAGCAGAGTGAGCATGAGCACAGGCAAGACCACAGACTGATGGGACCAAGTAAGGAAGCAGCGGGTCAACGAACTAGGTGCACGGGAGGTATCGGCGGGTATTCAGAAGAAGTAGAAGTAGCCGCTAGAGAAGCATGAGTGATCTGGCGGTCTGGCACAGATTGAAGAGGCGGTGCCCTGATATGTACTGTTGTCCAACACGTATAACCCTGCTCAGTTAATCCCCTGGAAACAGGGCAATCAATGCTGGCTGGTGGTCTGATGTACAATGGGACGCTGGAGGGGGTGTTCTTGCGAGGAGGGGGTGCTCTTATCACCTCTCCTGCAAAGACACTGGGATATAAAAAAAGAAAAAAAAAAAAGAAACAAAAATAGAAAAGATGACAAGTCTGGGCTGTCCTTGGACCACTCTGGACTCTAGTTTTTCTGATGGAATGCAGAGTTCTACGGCCTATGTATCTCCTGGGGTCTGTGTCCTTGGACCACTTTGGACCTTGTTTTTCTGATGGAATGCAGAGTTCTACGACCTATGTATCCCCTGCGAACGTGACCGCGAGGGAAAATACGGCCGGCGGTCAGGAACATGATCGCCGGCCTCTGCCGCGGCTGAGATTTTCAGAATTGTTTTTCAAGAGATATTAGTGCGAGGATCTGGGTCCTCAGCAGGCCTAAGGGGCCCTGTTACAGAAGTGCCCGCCCTAAGTGAAGGCGGGCTTGACAAATCGCGAGAGGCCGTTTGTTGTCAATTTTGTATTTGGGGTCCAGGCAGTTGTGACGATCCAGTTGGTTGAGGAAGACGCAGGCCGAGCAGCAAAGACATTTCCACAGCCTACCAGGCCTTTCCAGAAATGCAGGCCCTTGGCAAGACTCACAGCCTCATTGACAGACAGTTGGGAGGCCCAACCGAATGAGGCCCAGCTGCTGTAACAGAGGCACAGCCTCATGGCGCCTACCGGAAGCTTCTGGGCAGAGGCCCAGGCCAGGCAGGCTGTCGGGGCAGGCAGGCTCTTTCCATATAGGAAAGAGCTCTCATTCAGGCACTTGGTGGCTGGCCTCTGGAGGCCCCGCCCAGACAGCCTCCTGGGGCCTACCGAAAGCCTCTGGGCAGAGGCGCCGCCCAGCCAGGCCGTCGGGGCAGGCAAACTCTTTCCATATAGGAAAGAGCTCACTGCCTGGGCTCTCAGTCAGGCACTTGCTGGCGGGCGGCAGCGCTCTGCACACGTGCGGTTGTGTGGTGAAGCAGGGCGCTGCTGAGGGCAGCGCCATATCCCAGCCTCCATGTCTGGCTGAGGGCTTGGACATATCGTGAGGCGCAGGGGTGGTCTTCGGGTGTACAGAGGGAAGACGTGGGTGTACGTCGATGTAGAGAGAGAAGGATGATGATGATGATGATGATGATGTGAGGGCACATACCTGGTATTGGTGATGGTCTGCATCGGGCGGCATCTTCAAGTACTTTGTGGGCTGCTGACGTCAACAGTTGCATTGTCATTGGCAGATTGTTGCTGTGTAGGGAGTAGGCTGGGTGCTGAACACCAACTAGGGAGAAGGTCCTGGACTCTTGTGTTGGTGGTGGCGAGAGCAAGCTCTCATTGACATTGGTTTTCAGTGTTACGATTCTCCATTGGTGTCATGCCTCTTTCTGTTCACTGTGATACTTTCTGGCTTTCAATGTGATCGTGCATTCTGGATATTGTCATCTCGCTACTGCTCATTTCTGGCCCAGGGTCGTGTGGGCGCACCAAGAAGCTATGTGGTGACATAGGAGGTGTACACTGGTTGATGAGCTCGCTGATGTGCCAATTTATGCCGAGGTGGAACTACATTCTGCTGTTTGTTGTGCCGAGGCAAAGACCGGCCATCATAAATGCACATCAGGTTGCCGGTGAGAAATCTGTGGTTGGGGGCACCATTATGAGGTTCATTGCTATCTTCCTTATGTACCCTCTTTATTACTTCTTACCGTAAGGAAGCGAGTTTTGTCTTGAGAGTCCTCTCAATGTGAGGTGTCGTGAGCGCTCAACCTTGAGAGTGGACATTCTTCCTAGGCAGCAAGCTGGTGGGAGACGGGCAAAGCCTCTTAAGAGCCCTGGACGAAGCACTCGGGTCACGGTGTCAAGCGCATCGGCCCCCGCGCGAGCAAGGGCCCTCCCGACCATGTCACGCAGGAGATAAATAAAACAAAACCAAGAGACAACTCGGGAACGATTCTTAACAACCCTGCAAACCGTCGAGACGTTACGGTAGCGTCTTTCTGTCACCGCTCTGACCGGGTGCGCCAGCTGTACATCCCGCGGTCCCCTACGACAGGATAGGTTCCTGCGGGGCATGAGCTTGCTTCCCTAAGGGGTTGTCACGACCCTTAGGGGCGTATCCCTACCGAGTTATTGACCCACGTGCGAAAGTTTTTAGATGCAATTGCAGAGGTAGGTCAACCGAGGGCGCTTGGTTAACGTCGAGCGGACCAGAACGTCATCCGTTCCTAGGGCGCTGATCTCCTAGTCACGAAGCAGACGCCGGTTGATTAGGACGGTCTCAACCAAACGTGAAACCCAGCATTAGTCCTAGTCCCTTTAACACATGGTCAAAAGTAAGTTGTAACAACCACACATATAATTATATTTTAAGGAGTCGATCATAATCGACGCAGATAAATATTCGATCTGAAATGATAACTAAAAGAAATTGAATCTTCATCTAATACATCCATTATCACAAGATCAAAATTTAATCTGACCACCTTGGGTCGAACTCTATAAAACAATCATACAACCGCCAACAAGGAGTTGGCTACCGAAAATAACATTTGTGCGGCCAACATGGTAGTAGGACAACCTCAGTTTTGACTTGATGAGACGCGTTGCCAAAGTCATTCATTCCAGCCTACCGCCGACTTAAGATTAGACACACGTATTTGTCTCCATCCGTTTTCAATCTTTTCTGATGACAGACTACTTTGCGAATGATTCTTGATCAGGGGCATTGCTTAAAGTGTTGCATGCCTCTTCCTCTAGGAAGTGGTCTGGGGTACTCCTCGTCCGAGCACAAGACTCGAATCCCACAGGTCGGGCCATCTCCAACGAATCGACAAATACCCCCCCGTAGAACGGTCCACTCTGGGTCGATAACAGGGTCGGCTCCTAAAGCAACGAACCCCCGCCCCAAATGCTTCATAGAGAGAGGATGTGTCCACAACAAGTTGCTCTCAATTATTCTCCTCTCCCTTGAGTTCAGGGTAACTTAGACGAAAAGACAATCGAAGGAGATAGGGAATAAGAATCATTTGGACAGGTACATGTAGATAAGGTCATTCGGGATGGAACAGGTAATCCTGGGGAAGAGGCTAAGTCCATTCGACCTTATTTGCTTTATTCGAATCAAATTCATTTTACGACATGCATTGAATTAACCTTTTTTAGAACAACAAGCTCTTTTTGACGAGCAGGCAGGTAAGAAGTAAAGGGAAGACAATTATTTTCCCTTCTCTCAAATAGGCATAATCAATATCCTTTGCAAGCATCCTTCTACCTACCTGCACAACATGCATAGAAAACAAGTTCAAAAGGAAAACAGGACAATCCGCAACTCAC